CACCGGGTCAGACGGTGTGGTGCGAAAAGAAAGAAGGTCATCTTGAAGATTTGTGGTGTAGGTTCGAGCACGCATCGGTCGGCCAGATCTTGGCACGAAAACGCACTTCTCCCCTCGCCAATCAACTGTTGTTTGTACGTAGTCGATCCTCGAGACACAACCCACAGAGCTCGGGCAACCCCCTCCCCTTCCTTAACAAGGAAAAGTGGCGCGTTCTTCCTTCATCTTGATTACTACTGCGCAGTGGCCTTTACGCTTGTCGATATCGACGGCGACGGCCAGGTGTCAAAGACTGATCTCGTGCGATACCTCGAGCTGATCACGGCCGCGCCGGAGGGTGTGAAGATAGACCTGGTGAGGGTTGAGACCACTCGTACCGACTCACATTTGACCTTGCAATTGCTTGTTCGAGGTAAAGTGGTCGGATGTACAAGCAGGAGCCAAAAATACAACATATTCGAGATAAGTCCCAACATGTTTGAGTTAGCGTCGCGTGAACGGTACAGGAGCGCAGCTTGAATGCGCCATAATGAGGTTGTGAATCTGCTTTTGGTGGGGATACACCGGGCCGACACCTGGTTCAGCGTTACATCAATATTGAGATAAGCGGTGTTCCTCCAGACATTAGGGCTCAGGTAAGCGTATCACAGGCATCGTGCAGCGGCTGTGCTCACTGGAAGCCGGCTGAATACAGAAGATGGAGACCAGATTGCATTACAGAGGGCAATAGAAAAATTGTATTCGACAAGAAAGACGCCGTGTTTACGACCAGGCAACGCCATCTCCACGTCGGCAGTACGAAGACGAGGAGTTTGCGTGTGTGGCTTTGCCCGTGATGTTGACGACAAAATCGCACATTTCCGACCAAGCGAGTGTTGTAGACGGTCTCGTGCCGCAAGGAACTGACCATGTTGTTGTGCATGGGAATCATCGGGATTGGAGGATGACAAGGAGTTCACTTGAGGTCCCCTACCCCCAACAATCCTCCCTCCCCCTTCCCTGCCGTACACATACCACCACCCGACTATCCAGAATGCTGTCGCTGCGAGAGTCATCGAGGAGGGTGCGTCTGCGCCAGGAGTCACGTCGTTGTCGCTCGCTGACTTCATCAAGGTAGGTTACCGTTTTTCCAATTTTGTTTAAGAAAGGTCTGATCTTCAGACACCGGCATGCCTTAAGAGATATGGTGAAGTATCTAAGCACCCCCCACATGTCACGAACAACGAAAAAAGGTAGTCTTTCCCCCTCTCAATCCCCTTGCCTGTCCTATTCCCTGCCAAACTGTCAAACAATGCTGTTCTGGCCTCCATCCCCGATGGACATTCAGATCATGGGTGCCGCAGACTTTGCAGACAAGCTGACGATCCCGTTGTGACAGAGCGACGCCCAGAAACAACGAAGAGGGCACATCCCAGAGTGGGGCGTGCATCGGAGTACCTCGGCCCCTGTTCTCTTTCCGGACAGCTTCCGTTTTGACCGAACGATTGGAGCATCAATCGATAAGGTCGGAAAATCCAAAGGCACACGTTTCAGAATACTGGTGGGGCCGGTTACTCGGGGTGAGGGGGCAATGGAGGGCGGGGTGGTGGCCGTGCGAGGCGCCTCCGCCGAGTGCTGCTTGAACACCGCACACGGCCACCGACTAAAGATTGATGTATCTCTTTTTCTGCAATTCCATTGTTCGTTGAAGTGGTGCCTAATACGTATACATGTTCGCCGAGTTCTACCTCCCACACTGGCTGGTTCTACTACCAAGTTTGGTTTGGGAGTTGGTTATGGGAGATGTTTCGCGCGGGTCAGCTGTTTAGATACATTTTGGTGCTCTTTGTACTCTGGGAGAGAGCAACACGTTGAATTGCTGCAACATGCGCGGGGACGATCACCAACGAGACAGAGTGTTTACTTCGAGGCAGGTCTTGTTTAGCCGTCATCGGAGAACACCATCAGCGGAGTCGGTAACGGAGTCACCGGCCCCCGCGCCGGCACCGGCTTTGACAATTGATGCCGAGGGCCGTAACTCGGACCAAGTGTTGCGATTATCCAGCACTGCAATAATATGTTTCTTGCCTCTATCTTTCTGTGAGGTGGAGAGCCCCGAAATTTTGGGTGCGCGATCGTTATTTTTTTTTTGTGTCCCCTCGGTTTGTCTTGTCACACCCCGGTGCGATCTCTCCGACCGGTGCGATGCCCAATGAAAACTAAACACACGGGCCTACTGGTGCTCGGCTGTGTTGTATCCACGCACCCCGGTGCCATTTCCGCGACTGGTGCCATCTCTCCACCAATGCATCTACAAGCGGTGTATGTACCGTTGTTCCTGGCTGGAAGCACACCGGTAACGGCAACTTTAGGCTAGCACGTACAGTAGCAGCGTAGCAGCTTTCCATGCAGCGCGTGGTCACGGGATTGAATGCGATTTTGGATATGGCGTGACAAGAACAACATAATAGACTATGTGGTTTTCATCTGGAGTACCGGTACATTATATACAGTATCATGAGGTTGTCGCCCACTTTCGTTTCGGTTTTCATCTTCGAGTACCACCACGTAGCAGCAGTATTCGCTGTCCTTGTGTGTGGTGGGGTGGGTTGCCGCACGTACGTTGTGTGCTTGGTTAGGTTCGATTGGCAACGTCCAACCAATAAGATGAAACCAACTGGAATCCCGAGTGAACCGCGAACGAACGTACATGCATGAAGGAGTGGCGCTCCGCTGACGTCGGGCCCACATGCAGAACGTAAAACGTTCTCTGATGTTTGTAAAGATACCTCTGATCCCCCAAAAAAGATCAAATCTCAATCAATGCTGGATTAGGGGTCGGCGAGATCGCACCCGGTGTGATCTCACCGACCCCAGTGCGGATATATGTACCAAACTATGCTGTTCTTGTTTTTTTTCGCACCCCCGTGCCATCTCCCCAACCGGTGCCATCGCCCTTTCGCGGTAGTTCGCTATGTAGGGATCCGGGATATATCGGACACCGGTTGTGCACATGACATGCACGTGGCGGACTGGCGGACACAGGTCGCGCCGCCTTTTTTTTTTTTTTGTGTCCGTCCCTCCTTCCCCCTCTCTCTCCCGCCCGCCTGCGTCGCGCTGTCACGCCATCACTCATGATAGCGGGCATGGGTGACGTGAGGGGGCAGGGAGATGCTCAATCGCCACGGCAGTGCCTCAGCTTGGTGAAGACATTCGCGCTTTTCTTGGGAGATAAGTACGGTGCCGGTTGCCAGGCACTCGAGGAGAAACACTTGGATGAAGCGATCGAAAAAGAGGTGGGCCGAGTGGATTCTCCGCATACGAGTGCTTACGGCATGTAGGGTGCACATGCTCTACTATTTCACGATCTACTATCACACCCAGGCATATTTTGAATAACTCATCCCCACCACCTCTCCGATGTAAAGATACGAACTTAACTACAGCAGTATTGCGGGACACACACGCGAGTGCTGCAAACGAGCTACACTTTGTCTCCCTCGAAAATTGCGCCCCATCACCGCCGTTGTTGTCGCTGACTCGCTGACCGACTGACCGAGGTGCCGATGTGTTGAGACCACGGCTACAAAGTGCCGTAACGTGCACCTCCTGGATGCTACGTCTCCATGTAGGCTGCTCGTTTTGAAGGATGCCTGGCGACAGCAGTAACCCATCACTAGTATGAGCCTTGCCATCTCTTGATCTCTTGATCTCTTGATATTACACAGCAGTGCATGCGGGGACGCTGCTATGTTTGTTTTTCGTTCACAGAATTGGGCGAAGCATCGGCCCCCCGATAAGGTGATGGAGAAGGTGGAGGAGAAAAGAAATGGAGGGGACAGTCAGGAGTGATTGTTGACTTATGACGGGAATCGTGGGGAGGCGATGTGCTGTGGTACAGAGTGTTTTGTAGAAAGACAGGTTGTTCCATGAATGACATGGAAATTGAAAAATCGAAAAAAAGCCGTCGTCGTTGCGCGAAAAGCAAAAACCGCTGCTGCTGCTGCTGCTGCTGTGGCATACTGCGGTGGTGTCAAGCGTCCCGTAGATACGTGCGTGAACCGCGGCTGCGTTCACCCTAGTTCGCTTGCGGTAGGTCTGCCAGTGTACTGCGCGTCTGTGGTGGATGCTGTGATTTGTTTGCGACGTGTGTCGGCGTTTATCGTGGCAGTCGCGCATGAGATCACGTGTGTGTTTGACAGGAAACGTAACAATTCGGGGGTAGCGAAAAGGAAAAACCGTGTTGCTCTGTGGCGGACTGCTGTATCGACCGTCCCCGTGACATACGTGGGCGTTACCAACCCTGTGCCAGCCCTTAATTGGCTTTCCGTGGGTCTGGAAGTACGATCAACGTCTACTGCGCTGTTTGTGCGATGCTCTCGATCATTTGGGACGAGTTACGACGTTCATCTTGGCGGTTGAGCGTGACGGTGCGTTCGGCAGAAAAAATAATCGGGGTACTCTATTTTCTAGTTGAAGCGCAGACAACGGCGCCACTTCTTACTTTAATATACTGATATGATACCTCCTGCCCCCCGCCCCCCCCGCGCGCCCGTAACGACGTCGATTTTAGCTAGAGGGCGCGCCATGGCTCAGCCCCTTCCTGCCTTCTTCCCCGGAAGCGATGTGCTCCTTCGTGCAAATAGCGGGTAACGGACGCACGATTGGCGTCTGCAACGCGAGGTTTAAACACTCGAAGTGACTCGTTGGTCAGGGGTGAACAGCGCCAGCAGAGGATGACCACGATGATGACGTTATGCCTAATGCTGTTGCCGGTGAAATGGACCTGTGACACGATGAATGCTTGGAGTTCTTGAGCCAGCCGAGTCTTTCAAAGCTGGGTATCTAAGCACTGACGATACAGCATCGCGTTCGTATCGATCCCGGAGACTAAAGTCAGTAATTCTGCAAGGGAAACTTGTTCAGAAAAGCATACACCTGTACAACTGGTGTATGATCACGCTCAAGTCAGAGTTCGTCTGTGTTTCGAATGTAGGATCCGAGATCCTCAGTCGGATCTATGTCTTGATTCGTGCCATCCTGTTGGTGCGGGAAATACATTCGTATGCCCGATTTGCTTGCCTCGCCCCCTTCTGTCGATCGTGAAGATCTATCGGCAGATGATGTGGTTTTGGACGTGGGGTGCGGGGACGGGCGCGTGCTGGTGACCATGGCGAAGGTTCTCGGGTGTCGAGGGATAGGCATCGACGTCTCGCAGGTAGTATTTATCGAATACTGCAGCAGTCTCTTCCCGTGTGTGTGTCTTTTCTATTAGCATCGACCGCGCTAACCGGCTGACCAATCAGTCAGTCTCAATGCGGCAGAAATCAGATAATGCTTCAAAAAGGCATGATCTGGAACCCGTGAGGGAGCGTCATGGGGGAGGTGTGTGCATGTGTGTGCGTGTTGTTTGTATGCCACTTGGGTGCGCCCTTTTTCTGAACTGCATGTCACCCTGGTAGACTTGTTTTAGGGGCTCTCGTTTTCCAGAGGGGGCTCCGTACGCTATCGGAAACCACCCGAATACGGCCAGGTGGAATGACTTCGAGAGACCGAAACCAGGAAACGCTCTAAACCGTTGGGAGCGGCAAACTACACCATGGTCGTGAGAACTCTTTCGTCGTATGTGGTGTATGGCGTTCTCTGTTTGAAGGAACTCTCCTGCCCATGCCCCCCTTCACTCATACGTAAGAGGGCTGGAAACAGTTTGTTTCCACTACAGCGGTAGTGAGTGCTGCAATGCACGTTGTTTCCTGCACCGGGGTAATCCACCCCCTCACCCCCCCCCCCCCCCCCCCCCCCCCCCCCCCCCCCCCCCCCCCCCCCCCC